CAGCAAGTGTACTCTGCCATTCTCTGCTCTGACGTACTAAGAATTTAGACAGCCCTTTGCCTCAGTGCTTTTTATGTGCAGTTCTCACCGAACATCAGCATTTAAAAAGAGATACATATATTTGAAAGATCTGCTTATTTTACTGAATAAAATAAGTCTTTAGTTTTTATTTTCTGGAAAAATAAAGGTGGAGGGGGAGGCATTGTACGTAACAGCAAAGTTTTTGCAAGATTCGGATCCTTTTGCATCACTCAGAATTTTACATGCAGCTTTTCTTTGCATTGCTAACTGCCTGCCCCAGGTTAGCCTTACTTCTGCAAGGACAGTCACACTGGAAAAAAACAACCTTTGAGCTGCTCAAAGTTAGGGCTAGCACATCTGAGAACTTGCTGAGCTACTTCAACTCACAGCAAATAATTTGTTTTATTTTTTGCCAAATGGGCTAGTCTTGTGTCACATCAGCAATCTGAACTGGTTTACAGGGAATTCAGCAAGCATCAGATTGCTCTGAGCAGCATGGAGAAAAAGGGATCTTCTTGTTGCAAAGAGTTATCAAATCAGTTTCAGCTGCTTTATGCAACATCAGCCTTGTGCTCATGGAACAGAGCAGGTAGAGCAGAACGTGTAAGTGATCTATACTTTTGGTACAGTTTTACTGAAAACTAAATTGAAATCTAAATTTAACTGCATAAATGTACTTGAGTGAATTATGGTTTGCTCACACATTTTGCTGGTTCATATGTGGAAGAAGTAACCTGTGATTTTACTGCTGCTAGGAATGGCAAGGTCTTCAGCTGGCTCAACATGTTCTAGAAGGATACCTGACTGCTGTGATGGCAGGGACAGATCCCTTCTTTTCCTACCAAAGATGACAGTTCTGTATGCAAGTAATATGATGCAAGTTCAAGGATGTATCTTTGAACCAACTCAGAGCAAAGAAAGAAGAAAGGTTTTTGAACTAACAGTGATGCTAGTATTACAAGCCAAAGAAGGTTTATACTGAGAAGCCAATGTAAGATGTGAGAAGTGTTAGATTAGCATACACTGAAACAACTATGTCCATGTCACTGTATAAATGAATATGTTAAAAAAACCCTATAATTATCTAGGGATCTTTCTCTGACTTCTCAGAATTGTTTTAAAAGTGCTAGTCAAATGGCAGATAAAAATCTACCTTGGTGGAAATTATTTACCTCCATAATGTCTCTCATAAAAGAATTACCAAGAAAATAATTAACCATAGAGCAGTAAAAAAAGCACTATATCCAGTAATATTTTTTGTGTAAGATTTTGTGCAGAGGCACTCGGGTGGAATTTAGCCCTCTGCATATAGAAAAACCTGGTGGCTGTTGTTGCTGCTGCATTAAGGACTTCACTGTTGACTTCAGTTGTGCCTTTGTGTGTGCCCAGAACTGACCAGCTTTGGCAGGGCTGTGTAGCTCTATGCCCAGATATGACTGAGATCCAGAAATTAATTGTTCTGTTTGAATACACTGAAAGAAAAACCCTGGAAATGCATGCCTTGTAGGTGGTATAGGCTGTAGAGTACCTAGGTAATGACAGTAGGATTTTAACGGTTAGTTATGGCATGGCATTTGTCACTTGACGTGGCATTGTTCCCTGCACTGTTCCTATGTTCTCTCTACTTCATTTGGTTCCTAGACAAGGCAGACTCCTTGCCCAGTACAGAACAGAGACCAGAAACTCATTGACTTTCTGTACTTTCTTTCTGGCTCGTTGAATTCTCCAGTTCATTGCTGCACATCACCATACCTTCAGTGGGCAGATGGGGATGGTTCCCCACCCCAGCACAGGCAGGTCCTGGTGAGGCCAGGAGGAGCATAAGTGCTGATAAATTATTTAAGTGTTGTGTTTTCCCTTGCCTAACCAAAAAGAACTTCTCTTACGGCTTCAGCTGTTTGGTCAATTGCAGAGGACTAACTTGCTAGGAAAGTCATAGAGATGGTAATTGAAAATGCCAAGATGAAATTTTAATGGTACATGTTTTCTTTGATCAAAGTGTTATTTTCGTTCAATTAAGCCTGTTAATTGTGGCATATAGGTGAGCTAAGGCATGTAGACAGAGGATTATATCTTTTATTAGACTAACTGATGTCACTGCTAAAATTTCATAGTAAAGGATTATGCTGGGAACTCATACCTTGTTTTTCCTTAAATAACTGAAGGTGAATATATTAAAGGGTAGGGAGCATGTACTCATCTGGGCAACCTACATGGATTTTATTTTTTTTTTTTTTTACTATCTGAGACAATCTCTTTGCATGCTAATTTTGTAGAAAGTTCATTAAACCAACCTGTTGTATGGCTGATGGATCAGCATACAGCTGTGTTCTGTTGAGGTCTTGCATTTCTTCCTGCTTACAAAGCCTTTCTAACAGTAACTTTTTGCCTTCTGTTACTGTGTGCACTCTTTCTGTTAATAGTTTTTGGAAGTGAAGTATGGTGTTTTCAGAAGCACTTTTCTTAAGTGGAACAGGTGACACCTCTGTGGACAAAAGCAAATAGAGTGCACAAGTCAATGAACTGCTGACACTGAAGTTTAGCACATGCTAGATTTTCCCAATGCTGTGCTTCTGTTATGCTCTTTTGTCAGGTGTTTCCTGGTGTTGTGTGAGGGGTCATTGTAAATCACCAACAGACCTTGTAAAAATCACTCTTATTTGAACTTTCACATTTGCCTAGCTCCTGCCTTCTGCAAGACATATTTCCCTAATAAGTCATAAATGAAAGTATATTTTATTACAGAGAGTTAGTCCTTAGTACAGTTTGTGGTAGTGAACTGAGCAGGTTGAATTCAGAAATGCACTGTTTGGATCTGTTTTCATCTCTCTGTAGACAAGATATAATTTTAGTATTAAAATAGGGGCAATCTTCCTAAAAGTTAAGTTTGTCATCCCTCATTGTTGGACATTTTGATTATTTAGGGCCTGACAATTCTGCCAGGAAGAAAAATAAGTTCCTGACCTTTCCTATACCGGAGTGGATGCTGCATACCTTATCCATCCCTTCTATTTTCTCTCACAGTGACTCTATACTGCATCTTCTCTTTGGAATACCTATCTTAACCTGTTTTATCTTGTACAACGTGTTAGACATTCCATATTAGACATTGCACGTTAGACAATATGTATGTCTAAACATGTAATATCTCCTCTTGTTTACTGATGCATCATATAATATGAGGAAACCATAACCATGACTATGATATTCTCCCCATTTTCCTCAGAGCATCACAGGTAATCTACACATCTTTGAAAAATCTTTTTACTTTTCCCTTGCAGTCGATTCTTTTCAAGTAAGTATTTCCTGATGTTTGCCTCATTTATAGCAGGGATGAAGACTGAGATAACAAAATTGGGGGTTTCCTTAGGCCCACATTTTTATCAGGACTCTCTAGAACATTGTTGAGCATGAGAGAAGAATGCTGGTTTGGCGCTTGGTATTAAGTTCTAGGATCTTTTTTTTTAACTTTTTGATTACTGTGAACTAGAATCTGGCATCCAATTCACCAGCAGTGTATAGATGCTTTAAAAAGTCTGGGGTTCTTACCATCATTCCATGTTTTTCTTTTGATACTCAAGGATCCTGTGTTTGCTGCAACATCTTCCACTGAAACTTAGAAGAGAAAAGCAAGTTGACTAAGTATTTTGCAAAGCACAGTCAGTAGCTCACCAAAAAGCTTTATACTACAAAAGCAAATGCATTGGGACAGGTGACCTGGAACATGAGGATCTTCTATAAAAATATGGTGCTGGGCTGTCACAGAAAGTCAGGGTGGAGACAGATTTGTTTGGCAGATACTTCAAACAGCTCAATAACTAAAGCTTCTTTTCTGAAGGGTTATTGGTTTACTGTCTTCTGTGTCAGCATTCACAGCACACATTACACAGTCCTTTTTCAGCATGCTAGAATGTAAAACAACTAGGTTGGCTTGATATTGACAAATTCTATTCACAGAGAGCAGAAAGGAGCAGTAGTATCTTCAGTTTCTGGTTTTGGAAGACAATGTCTATCTTAAGAATGTGATCAAGCACAAGAATGAGGCAGGTGAAAAGCAGTGGTGTCATCCTATGGCTGTGTGGATGTCACTGCAGCCTCAGCTAATGGCACTGCCCATATGGTGCCTTTGGACCCTCCATTAGGGCTCCGATTCATGACTGAGGACATGTGACTTAAGGATGGCTCCACCAGTTTCTGCTCCAGCTGTCTGTCCTCTGCTGCAGAAATGGTTCAAGTCCTTAACTAATATTTATGATGTTGCAAATTATTATCTAACATCTTGAGAAAAATCAGAATTAGTTCTGATTTACCATAACTCACTGAGCTCTAAACTGCAGTGATGAAGTTGCTTCTACAAGAGCATCTGATCTGCCAGGGGCAGGTGCTCTAGAGAGCTAGAGCAGTTGGCCAGTCATGAGAGGCCTTACAGCACACACGAGGCTAGCCATGTTGTTCCTACATCAGAGGTCATTTGATACTAAAATAGGAGCAAACTCTGTTTAGAAAACTGTTTCTGCTTTAGCAAAATTAATATAATTACAAGTGCTCAGATAAACAGCACTGTTCTGGATTTTTCTGTCTTGATTGTGGTATGAACTGAATCAACTAAGTTTGCCTTTTTTTGGAGCGTCTGCACTTGCCTTGATACAGATTCCCACTATTCTAAATGGTATGAGTTTGCAGCTCTCCATCCATAACTCTTTACATGCCTGCTGGATCACCTCTAAAACCTGCCACGTTTTCTATCACCATTTCACTCTCTCACTTAAGCTTCCAGAAGCACTAAGATTTTCTAATAACACTGAATGTTTGTTTCAGTTACTTTCAGTTTTTGGTAATATTCTCACTTCTAAAGTCCTCCAAAGATTATGTTCATTTGCTGAGTATGGCCTATGTGGCCATTCAGATAGATTGTTCAGTTATTTTCCCTCCCTCTTCTAGCCACCTATTTCACTTCTTCAGCATGGGTCAGCAGAGTTTCATTTTAAGCTCTTGCTCTCATCACTGAAGTTTTTAGTACCTGATAGGAGACTTGAACTTTCGCATCCCCAGCTTGAGGGACCCAGAGGCTGTCTTCTTAAGATACAGTCAACTTCATCATAAAATCTCATTTTTCTCCTGGCATTCCCAAGATGCTCATTTTCCTTCTGCAGTGCACGGTATTCGTATTTTAGGTTCTTGTACTTTGTGCGACACTGTTTCCAGTCTCTGTCTATACCACGCTTCATTAACCTTCTGGCAATTTCCTCAAATATTTCTTTATTTCTTGTGGCTCCTTCAAGCATTTGTTGTATCTTTTCATCTGACCATATGTTTATCAGAGCTCTGACTTCATTATCACTCCAGTGTTTTCCTGCTCCAGTATCATTAACTGTAATAACTTTGAAGTGATTTTGTGCTTCTTCCAAAGGAATATGATTGTCTGGAAAGATAAATGAAAAAACAACTAAGTATTGCTGAATATACATACATTGAAGCGTAATTGTAGCTAATGACTTTATAACAAGCTGAAGGATTAATTCATTTTTATAATACCTTGCCACAAAAAAAAATATTTTAACTTTAAAATGTTAACATCCATACATGATTACATTTATTTTAAGTACGCAAAACATGCAGGAAGCTAAATCTCTTCTTTCTCCAAGGCATCTAAAATTCCAAATTTTGTCAGTGTAATTTTGTTGCTGTTGTCAAATTAAAGACAGATGTATCCAAGTGCTACATGCAGGAAAGCAATAACTTTAGCTTTAAAGCAACAAGTTATCAGCATTGATAAGGAAGTGACTTTCCAGTGTCCTTACAAATTAGAATGGCAAGGCAAAATATCACGCAAATGAAAATGCTACTGGAGATTCAACAGAAGGAAAAAAATCTACAGTATTAATGAAAGTTTTGCTCATGACAGGGAATAGAGTTATGAAACTGATTTTTAAATCTAGTAATAAAGCTGAATTGGAGTCAGAAATAGTTACATAGAGCTGTGTTTACAGTAGAGATCTGTTTTTTCCAGCTTTGGAGCTGAAGCTACATTTTTTTACTGAAGCTAGAATGCAATTTTGTTTCAAAATAAATGCATGGACATTAATACTCGCCTGTCCCAACCATCCGTTTTCCTACTGGAGTACAAGATCTGTCTTCTGAGGTAGTGCTCACAGACTCATCATCTATAGAAACAAAGAGTTTTAAAGAAAGTAGACTTGGACTTAATAAATTGCTAATATTATTGTTATCCTCTGCAGCCAACACTTATCTTAAATTTAGAATGTCATAACCCATTTTGCCACATGCCTCCTTAAATCAAATTATTTGTTGGCATTTCTCAAGCCCTATCACTCTTTCTGCCCTACATTCCCCAAAAGGTAGGTGTAGATGCAACACAATTAAAAGACTTGATTAACACACACAGGTACATGTGGATGGTTTGTATCTCATAAATTGATTTGCATAACATGTTTGTACACATGGATTAGCACAGGTGTGCCAGCCCATTTTTTTCTTAGGTGATGTGGGTAGAGCAGGCTTGGTGAGACTTTGTTGCTGTTTGGAAGGGCACAGATCTGTAGATCCACTCACATCTAACAGGTCTTGGACTGCAGCCTTTCCCTTGATGGGATTATGCAGGCTCCCCCACTGCTGTCATGGAATGTGATGGGACTTGGGCCTTGAACACCATTGTCCCCCTGAGTCTGGAAGCTGTGCAAGTGATTAGGATGAGTTAAGGAGGAGCGAGAGGCACAGACACCTGTTGGTAGATCTGCATGCAGTGTGATTTTGCATAAGCTGCATTTCATAATGCTGAGAGGCCTATTCTCTGCTTTTTGTGTGTTGCCCTGTTACAGCAGAAAGAAACTGAAAAGAGACCTTTGCTTCTCAGTCCTGTTCGTTCCCCTCTTTAGGAGTCCTTTTTATCACAGAAAAAATGTGGTTTAGAGTCCATTTTAGTAAGCTGCCATGGTGGGTTTCAAAGCTGGGCTTTGAGGCATACCTCTCCCTGATTGCAGGAGGGAGGGAAGGAACAATGCTAGGTTCTGTGGAGAAGGTTGCATAATATTGCCTTCCTTTAGGAGACAGCCATGTCTATTTACTCGTGTGTGAAAGGCTAGTCTCTGATACAGAGATTTTGCAATGAAGAGAAGTGGAAAACAAACAGTTCGTTCATGCTTTTATGGAAATCTTTAGCCTCATATTAAATGGCACTTTCTGTATCTAGGGATGGCTGTATCCAAAACTATTCTGTGTGGCTTGAATGGAATTAATACTTGCTTCATAACTTGCGTTCTCTTACGTGATTTGGAAAATTCTTATTTTCATGAGCCATAGGTGGGAATAAATTTTATCCATATGGAAAACTTAGAATCAGAAACTATACTAGAAGAAAAATATTTTCTCTGTAAATAGGCTATGCCATAACTCTTAAGAAAATTTTTGCATCTGCCTTTAAAACTTGCAGCTACTGGAAAAACAACCTTGGGCCAAAATGGAGCAGTGGGTCTACTCCTGAGCTCTGGAGTGGTTTGTTTGGGTTTTTTTTCAACTATTACAAAAAAAAATAATTCTCTCAACCATGCTGGCTCTCTAAACTCTTTCTGCCTTTGGCGATAGCACTTGTGTACTGCTGACTTCGATAATTACTATCCTTAATTGGATATTACATGACAGGAACAGGAAATTTGCGTATATAAGGCCATCAGTTGATCTGTGTGACATTTTATGCTGTGTCACTGTGTATGATCTCTTCTCTTTGCATTAGCGTGACCTTGGTATGTGTCTGAACTTCCAGGTTACTTTATCCTTAATGTAACCTGTGTTTCTGTGTGTCATTGCTGTGATGGCATTGCTCTGATGTTGTCCTCAGTGTCATGCTCCTTATAGTTGTCTTTCATAATCAAGATCATGCTATGCAAACAGTGGTAAAAGCTGTGTCAGATACAGTGTCTCAGCACCCAAACTCCAGCTGACGTAATTGCTGAGAAGGAAGCTCTTGCCTGGATCACAAAAATAGTAATGCAGACAACAGAAACGGTAGAAACTTATAGTGTAAAAGGGCAAAGAATTGTCATTCACAGAATCATAATAGATTTTTAAATTTTTTTTCCTATTATTTCTGGATGTAAAGTGAACTACCATAAAGTATATTTTGATACAGGATGTCAGGTAGGTAGATTTCAACATCTTTGTTATTTCCTCTGATGCCTTTTTTCATTACCTTCCATGGTTTCTATGCTCATTTATTCCAGGAGATTAATATCCCTACTGTATTCCAATGTTAAATTTTTATGTTTTTTAATAAAACATGCATTTTCCTGAATACTTGTCATTGGATGTATTATTTCTACATATTGCTGAGGCTCTGATTTCAACTTTATTTGTAAAATAATTCAGAATATTTATGGCAATTGTTTGATAGTAAATAGTCTGAAAGTAAATGCCCTGTCATGAAGTCCTTAGAAAAGATGGCAGAAAATGTTCAGTGTTTCTGAGACAGCTGTTTAGCTCTGCAGTTTATCCTCTAGCAATTGTATATGAAAACAAACAGTATTTGTGTCACTATAAATGCAGACTTACCACATCTAGCATAAGCAGTATGCTGTCTGGGTAAATAAGATCTTGTTTTTAATTGAGGGACAGAGAAATAGGTGTTTATGCATTTTTGCACTATGAAATCAAACAACAACCAGGTTTTATTGCAACCAAGAAGTAGAACGAGTATAATGTGTGAGAATAACATACGAACCTTAGAAATCTGCAGTTCCTAGTAAAGTAGAATGTGCTGTAATACCCATCAAGACACAATCTTGACCTACCTAGGTCAATTGTCTCCTTCTTTATTTGTGTAGATTCCAGACCTGCTGGGGCAGAGTTGGCAAAATCCCTCTCATCTTCAAGGATTTCTGTAAAAATAAAATTTACAGAGTTCTTATTAACTAACCAGGTCTTGAGTTATGTCTTGAGGATCTCTAACTTCAGAAAGCCTCTCATGATAACTGTTGTTCAAAGATTTCAACTCTTAATACATTATAGCTGCCATTTCTCTTCATCAGTGAGCTTAAGAGCAAAGTGTATGCACTTAAAAATAACAGCTGTATAAGGTAAGTTTATAGATGAAATGTGCAACCTCTTAAGTTGTTTAAATCTGGATCAGAATTGTCAAATGTTTTGCTGATCATGGCTGTGACACCTGTAGTTACTGGTGAGCCTCTAAGCAGCAGACCAGGCAAGATGGTGGCTTTCATAAGGGATGATTCTAGACGTACTCGAAGCGACTAATGCCCAGGGTCATCACATTAGCCCCAAAAGGGACAAGGGTCCTTTCACAGACATTGCATCAGGGTGCTGTGTGCTCACGTGGTAATGACAAAGTCCTAAAAGCCTGTCCTCAGAGCATATCCCCCCTGCTACAGCTTGCTAAGGAGTTTACATCACACAGCTGGGCTCTGGGCAGGGTGACAGAGGTGTCCCTGGGTCCCCTTCACGGGAGGAGATCTTCACTCCTCTGCCATTGGCCCTCTGGTGTTTAAAGGAGAACTCCACCTCTCTGCCCTGGGACAGACAGATGGGCAGACAGGCAGATGATGCAAGTGACCTGTTTGACCCTTCTTTCCAGGTGAGGACACTGCTGTGCAGAGATTATTAAATGGTGAAGGCCACACCGTGGATCAATGACATCGGTTTCTGGCTCCCAGCCTGTACTCTGTCCATTCAAGAATATTGCCCCAAACATTGAGCAATAAAGCATAATCTAGAGCAATTTTATTAAAAATTACCCCCCAAATCAATAAGGGCTTGTTTACATCAGATGTTCTTTACGATGTGACCATCATCATGTGCCTTTTTTTTTTTTTTTTGGGTAGGGAATCTCACTTTTTTTTTAAGCCACCATCTTGAGTGTTTTGAGGAAGGGCCCAAGGAGAGCAAGACTGAGCCAAACAGCAGTTTCTGGCATGGTTAAAACACTGGGGCTCAGTCCACATTGTTTAGTCAAGCTATAGACAGTTGCCAGAAAATGTGCTTAATCTCTTTTGTTGCATTTGAAGTGGGCAATGCTGTCACAGTCTTTCCTTTTACCCGCTCAGTCTGATACAAGCACTGTTCTCTTTTGGCACTTCCTCACTATTGCTGTTAATCCTGTTTTCTGGCTCATGAGGCAAGATTAGTAATTTGTCCCCTAATCCTTACTATCACAGGTGTCTTGTATAGTATAAAAGGGAATGGGGAATGTCAAACTAGGGAAGAATTTTCAGCATGAGGCCTGTGGTTACCCTCCAACAGCTGGCAAAGCTGCTGCAGTCTCTGTCATGATCTGTGACACCAGATACAGAGAGCTCTGGATGTGCAGTTAAGTGTGTCTGCAGCCTGAGCATGCCCTGGGCTTGGGCTAAGCCAGTGAATAATCGAGAACTTCTGCTTTTGCACTTCTCTGAAACACTACTTCACACCAGCCTGGGGCATATGTATTAAAACATTATCTTTTTACTGTATGTCTGTACATTTTAAAATTCCAAGCACACAGCAGTAAACCTTCAAGAGAAGCCAACATTAAATGCCTGAGTATGTACTAACTTAAGATCTTGCCTTTAAACAACTGAGTTTTAAGTATCTCTTGCTTTGCAATGTGTCTTGGCAATGTCGTGACTTAGTCCATATTTGTCATGAGATATACAGGGCATATAGTATACAGTATAGTAAAGTATATAGTAAAGTATACAGGGCACCTAAAAGCCTAAAACAATGACAAAGTCACTTGTTTGAAACAAAATACTTGCTGTAGATATTTTTTAAGAACATCAGGCTACTGGCATTCCTTAAAATTCCATGTTTTTATCTCCAGTGTTGTTTCCTATGGCACTTCAGATTTAATCAAACACCTATACACAGTCTGTGGTCATAGTGCAAAGTCTGACACGTATGGAATGTACATGTACGTGGAGTTCGAATTAACTGACTGAAGTAGTTTGCTCTTCTGAACAGATTTCTGAAATTCACTGTCCTTAAAAGTGATCCCATGAAATAGAGAACATCAGTCAACATGACTAAATAAGGTTTTGTTTCCAGGTTGATTTAATATGGATATCTTGTACCAGAAAAGAGAAACATTTATGGTAGCTCTAGCCTTTTTTTGTGGCTTATTTTGCATAAAACTAAAGCGGTTTTGTGAGTGCTATGATGAAATTGGGTTTGGTGATTGCTGTGATGCCCCTGCACCCTCTGCTGGCCAGTCAAACATTGATTATCAAACACCTACTGGTATCAAAACCAATGCAACACGGTATCCCTGCCTGCCTTTTTCACTGTTTATGAGCAAGCTGATTTATGAATACAGAGGTACATACAATCCCTTTACTTACCAGTTTTGCACTTAAAGCATGCACCACAATTAGAGAGTGAAAGGTCTCCATCATAATACAGTGTAAAGAGTGCGCATCTTTTCTCTGCTTTCTATAATACTTAATTCTCTTACCATTAATAACATTAAAGTCTAGCAGTTTTTTACCACCTGCGATAAAATTATTTGAGTCTGTACTGTTCATTTGAGAACGAGAGAAGGAATTTTGGAAACTCAAACTGCATCTCTTCATGATGAAGTGCTGTGGTTTTGCCTTTTTTTCCTCACAGCAGTTTGAACAGTAGTCTTTAGAGTGGATAGGCTGAGCCAGGGACATTTCTGAAACACTTGTTATTTTAATCTTTCCCCAAAAGATCAGATTGCAATTACAATTACCCAGAAAGAAACATACAGACAGTTAAAATAGATATATTTCACAGGGGAAATGGTAACCAAGGGAAGCCATAGATGTCATATCACCTAACATACTAAAGGAAAGATAAAGTGTCAAAAATAAGTACTCTGAACTTTGCTAGAAGTATTCAGTATTTATCTTGAATAACCCATTTGGAAGGCTGCAATCCAAAAAGTTACAATATTGCATAGCTGCAAACAGTTGAAAACTATCTCATTTAGTGGCACTTCTGAATCTATGTATTATTACAGCATCTTAAAACAGTTCATTTATATGTAGTAATTTTCCTTGTTGATGGGAGAAATGGAATTCTATGCTTTTTTACAAATAGTTTTAGTTATGATTTCTTAGATATGTTGTCTTTCTCAATATGAAATCTCTGTAGGCAATGCACATGACAATCTCTTTTGCCTATGCTGACCTGGTAAAAGGCCAGTTATATACAGTTTTTGTTAATACATTTAAATTAATAAATGTAATTGCTCTTGGATAGCAAAACAAAAATACTACTATCCAGTATATTTCTTTTTGTCTCTCATGGAGTAGTATTTACAGTAACATCTGTCAGAAGATTTTACATTAAAATCATTCAAGTCCACATTAGACCATTTAAAATTCTGTAAGACTAATCCATAACACCTAATATAGACCATAATCTGCCTCATGCTGCTGAAAGAGATCATGAGGTCTTCTGTTATGGACAAAACCATTAGTCTTCAAGACTTTGATGTGTTTCTAGCTGAATGTTAAATTCCCACTTCCCCTGAAAGTTATGCTTTCAGGTATAAACCATGTTTCTTCATAAATAAATAGTGTATGACCTTCATATTCAGTGCTACTAGTGATACTCTTAAATGAAGTTTCATCCCCTGTCAGAAGATTTTATACAATTATATTAAATACTGATCACAGTATATTGTGAAAAAGAGAATATCATATTAGTTTATGCAGAGAAGACTGAACAATTCTAATCTTTGGGAAAACATAGTTTAAGTACATACAGTAATACATTGCACTCAACTTGCTTAAACCAGTAGTTCCTTCTTTTTTACATCTTGGGTCATGATTCTTTGAAAAGATTACTTACCTAGACTGTTTTTGTCAAATTCAGCAGAGCACTGTAAATGTGCACATGTGCTTCTATTTATTGAAACTGATTTTCATTGACAGTATATTTTGCTTAAAATTGTGACAGGCCTCTGCATTTCCTACCTGTCATTACAATGTGGGCTTATTTTAGAAATCTAACTTAACTTACTATATTTAGTTTTAGATAAAATAGAAGGCTTTTCAGTTTACCTGAATCAGAAACTTTCCTTATATCTGCAACTTGTTGGTCTTCTGACATATTACTAACAGAATCCTCTTCACCTGTGTCTCCAGGCATTTCTGCATAAATAATGCTATGTTAATTAGGACACTGCATTTGTGTACTACATAAGAACAGCCGTGCTGTGTCAAATCAAAAGATCTGTCCAACTTAGGATGCACCTTATGCCAGCAGGCAGTAGTAGATGCATTACCAAAGAGCCTAGAAACTACAACTGAAGAGTGAATATTCTCCCATGCTCTTGTAGTTTTCAGCCAGAGTTTTTCTTAACTAACTTCTTGTCTTATATTTGGCCACTGTAATATCATCTCCTGTGTAGGATTCTTACTATGCAATAAAGAGTTTTATTTTTAATTCTGTTCTTAAACAACAGGCCTGTTTCTGGTTGTATGCACCACGAAAAGATGTTTTAACTCCTGGATAGTGTAAGTTCACCAGTCCACTGTAATTCTGCATTAATCTATCCATTACCAAGTTACTTGTCAATAACCACACGAAAATAAAGGCTAGCTGTGCCATCATTTTTGGTGCTGTTCCTTTTGCTATTTTCACAACAGTTATCTTACTAGTCTTGCTCCAAAGACCAGTATAGTGGGGCTACTGGGGACCATAAGAGAAGATAGTTTAAATGTTGATTTTCTTAACAAATGTCTGTAACTACACACTTCTTTTGCACAATGTCTTCATTTTTCCAGTAACACAGTCCAACCATCTCTCCATTTTTTCAGCTGAACTAGAAAGTCTCTTATGCCATGATTTTGACTGGAATGATCTCTCTTGTCTCTTTTATCTTATTCTACATCTTCATCTTCTCTTATTTTTGTTTCTCAGTTATATTAAAGAGAGAATTGGTCTGAAAGATTGACTCATAATGTGAACAACTAGACAAAACAGTACATCTCCAATCAGTCTTGTCTCCCCCAAGCAAATTGGTTAATCTAATTGGTTAATCTAGCTGGTTGCTTAGGGTTTTTTTGTTTGTTTGGTTTTTTGTGTGTGTATGTGGGGGGGGGGGGGGTTGGTTGGGTTGTTGG